TTATTAGGTCAGTTGAGCAATATTTTTAGGTCGGTTGAGCAATATTTTTAGGTCGGATGAGCATTAATATTTTTGGTTTGGATGAGCAATATTTTTTTGGTTGGTTGAGTAATATTTTTATTTCAGAGGTTATATAATAGATGAGTAATATTTTTTTTAAATGTTTAAATATAAAGTTGAACAACATAAAAACAACAATTTTCAATTAAATTAGTATTTATTTAAGGTTAGGTTAGGTTAAGACACTTTCTGGGCCGAGCGCTGCGGCCAGGACTGGCTAGGGGGCCGAGCACTGCGGCCAGGAAAGACCTTTAATTCAAAATTTTTTAATAAAATTAGTGTATAAACATTTATGAAGAAAAGGAAGAGAAATTATTAATATGATATAATAAAACTTCTAATGTTGAGCTCTCTTGAGCAGAGAGATCCGTACAAGTTGTGTTGCTCAATCAATTGTTACAGCTTCAGCAGCTTTACTTTTTGCGAATATGAACAATTTTTTTAAGCAAAATGCCAAATTTTCGCGAAATTATTTTTTCCGCGAAATTTAGCGAAAAAGTGTGCGAGATAAGAAAGAAAATTTTCGAAGTTTTCCGCATTTCTTCGCGTTTCGTTTTATTCTGAGGCCATGCCCAACCCGTTAACCCTGATGGGTTGATATTCTTTAAAATGTTCACAGATCATATGAACCTTTATAACACAAAAAGTCTTTTTATGTCAGCAAGGGCGGATCTCAGCAGTAAATTTCCAAATTCTTATTTAAATCCAATTTTCCATAATAAACCATATGAATTTTCTCCATCATAAATTAAGGTAAGGAGTAAGGACTTACAAAGGTTACCCAGAAAGAAAGACTTCAGAGATGATTGTACGGAATATTTACTGTCTGTTTCCTAAACATGTATGATTCTCTATCAACTGAAATTTATGTGTCTTTCTGTGCGAAATAATCGGAAAGGCCTTAAAATGACTATCTTTATGGCGGATGACTTATTTTTTAACCTTGGAATTTTCGTATTTTAAGAGATTCAGGTCATCTTTACAGTCTTATCCTTTGAGGGTAACCCTGTAGTTGGAGAAAACGTGAAAGAAAAAAATATTTGCCACAGAATACATTATTTGAAGAACATTATATTCAATTTTGAGAATTAACAGATATCTGATATTTTAAACTTGTTAAAGTTCAATATAAAATATAACATCGCGAACATTTTTACATGTCTAATCAAAGGTAATAAACTTGGTGATTATACATACATGAAACGGGACATCCTGTAAATACACAATACATACATTAAATGGGACATCCTGTAAATACAATACATACACGATACGGGAACTCCTATAAATACAATACATATATGAAACTGGACATCCTGTAAATACAATACATACATGAAACTGGACATCCTGTAAATACAATACACACACGATACAGGACATCCTGTAAATACACGATACGGGACATCCTGTAAATACAATACATACACGATACGGGACATCCTGTAAATACAATTCATACATGATACGGGAACTCCTGAACACACACGAAACAGGACATCCTGAAAATACAATACATACACGATACCGGACATCCTGTAAATACAATACATACACGATACGGGAACTTCTGTAAATACAATACATACACGAAACAGGACATCCTGTAACTACAATACATACATGAAACAGGACATCCTGTAAATACAATACATACACGAAATGGAACATCCTGTAAATTGAAATTCAAAACATAAACGAAAAAGGACATTCTGTAAATACAATGCATACACGAAACAGGACATTCTGTAAATACAATACATACACGAAACGGGACATCCTGTAAATAAAATACTTACACGAAACAGGACATTCTGTAAATACAATACATACACGAAACGGGACATCCTGTAAATAAAATACTTACACGAAACAGGACATTCTGTAAATACAATACATACACGAAACGGGACATCCTGTAAATAAAATACTTACACGAAACAGGACATTCTGTAAATACAATACATACACGAAACGGGACATCCTGTAAATAAAATACTTACACGAAACAGGACATTCTGTAAATACAATACATACACGAAACGGGACATCATGTAAATACAATACATAATCAAAACAGGACATTCTGTAAGTACAATACATACACGAAACAGGACATTCTGTAAATACAATACATACACGAAACGGGATACCCTGTAAATACACATTACATACACGAAACAGGACATCCTGTAAATACAATACATACACGAAACGGGATACCCTGTAAAAGTACAATACATACACGAAACAGGACATCCTGTAAATACAATACATACACGAAACGGGATACCCTGTAAATACAATACATACACGAAACGGGAACTTCATGTAAATACAATACATACACGAAATTGGACAGCCAGTAAATACAATACATACACGAAACGGGACACCTTGTAAATACAATGTATACACGAAATGGGGACACCCTGAAAATATAAAACATAAATGAAACGGCACCCCCTGTAAATACAATACACACACGAAACGGGGACACCCTGAAGATATGATACATACACGAAACGGGACATCAGCTGTAGTAAAGATATATACTATACACGAAACATTACACATTTATGATTTATAATATTTAAATGAGGCATCTAGTTTTTAATTGTTTTGGTGATATTAATCAAATTAGAAAGTTTTAACAGTAGAAAGTTGATATCTTATATATATAAAGTTGTAATCTTTGTTTTTCTGTCTGTTTGTTTGTACAATCATAACTCATAGACACCTGGACCGATTTGCTTCCAATTATGATTGAGGAACTTGGGAGATCCACGGATGAGCCAAATTTTATTTTAATGAACCTATGGGTACTCTTGATGTTGCAAAGGCTAAAAAACATTTCAACATATAAATTTGAATTTTCCAAATTTTTATTTGACATTTTTTAAAATTTAAATTCAAAATTTTGTTCTTTCAAAATTCGATTTTTTTTGTAAAACTCAAAAAAAAATTAAAGCGTTTTAAAAATTTCACGGGCCACGCCGGGCTCTTCAGCCATTATTATATAATATCAAGGCCGGGCATTTAATTTTGTATATTTATAAGTTTAAGTTTCACTTTTTGCTTCTATATTTGGGGAAACACGACAAAATGGAAGATTAAGAAAACTTACAATTTGGAAATTATTATTACCAGCTTTTGATTTTTTTTAAAACTGTGAATTAATCATTAAAGTGTGGGAGGGGGGGGGGGTGCACCTTCGGCCTTATAGGAACTGAGAGTATATACGTCCCTAATTGTTACGTAATTAATTGTAATTAACTCATATTTAAACATTCAAGGATAAATATATGTAAAACAAATCCACTTTTGCCCGTTCCTTTTCCTCAGTAGCAGGAATTATTGCTTCCGTAACAATGTTTTTATTAAAAGTAGTTTTACTCGTCAGGCAAATCAGATTTTTGTGATAGAACATTATAGAGTTCAGTGTCAATCTATCAATTGCTAGAAGTTTACTCAGGGGCAGAGGCGTATTCAGGGGGGGGGGGCTATGGGGGCTAAGCCCCCCCTGGACCAGTGATATCTTTTGATTTCAGGGGGTTTTCAGGCCCCAGCAGGTTCTGAGCCCCCCCTGGAAAGAAAAAAATTAAGCCCCCCTGGACAAATTCCTGAATACACCCCGCTCAGGCGGTATAGGGGGGGTGCTTTGGGGGCTAAGCCTCACTTTGGAGAAGTGATAACTATAATTTTCAAAGGGAGATTTAGCCTCCATACGGGCTGACCCCCCCCCCTCATTTCTTCTTGTCTTCTTATCCAAAAAAGCACCAACAAATTTCTTTTTTATAATTTTGTTAAAATACTGCATTTTCGCCAGGGGTTGGACCTTGAGACTTTAAGCATAGCAAAGTTTTATTTTTTTATACAAATTTCAAAATTAAAATTAAAATTCTTTCCTTTTGTTACTTTTTCGATTGTTATATTTCTGCTAGCCTCTTAGGGATGAATGGTAATTTATCGTTGCACAATTGTTAATCTTAAAGAGACTGTAAGCGTAATTTAAAGTGACACTGCGTGCAAAGATTCAAAGATTACCCTTGAAACTTTTATCTGATTAAAGGAAGTGACCGGCAATGTATGGTGGTAGAACTAAAATTGTAGTATTGTGGAGAATTTTTAGGATTCATATGAGACAGACATATAAAACGTTTCTACATCTTATTAGTTTACTGTATGATTTTTACTTTATTTTTCGTCGTCGTTATTCAATAATTAAAAAAAAACATACTGAAAACGTATTTACCCAAATTTGTGATTTTGAACGTCGACTTTGCGCTCAAACTTTGTAAAGAACCCACAATTCAAAATAATCATTTTTTAAAATTATAAACATTGATATCTAATTCCTTATTAATCAGCCAAAGTTTTTAAGGGTACCGTTGTCAATTGGGCATTATAGCCATCTTTGCATGGAGGGTTCCTTAAACATTACGCTTAAGATTACTTGGTCTCAATACATGACAGTTCGTGAATAGTTTAATATGTCTTCTTCCATAATTTTATAACATTATTTAGATGACCGCTATCATAGTAAAATTGATTTTACAGTAAAATATATACGAGTTAAACATTTTTTTAAAGAAATAAACTGCAAAAAGTCTTAAATATATAATACAGTATGTGGAAGAAGACACATTATTCACCATATGACACGTTTTGTGGGACACCCTGTATATTATAGAAAATTAACATTACTTGGAGACAAATTACACTGAATTATTTTCAAGAGGCTTGGGTTGATTTCGAAGTGGGGAATCCTTATTTCCAAAAATATTATCAATGCTACAGTAAGAACCAGAAAACCGTAGAATAAAAGTAATAATTAGCTGTATTTGATGTTGTTGATAAGGGCAAAAGGTTATTTTCTGTTAGTTATTAAATCAATTATCAAGTGAAATAGTTCTGTTCACGGTTCATGTTCATTGGACTATTTAAAATTAAAGTCATATCAGAATCCTAGACCTATTCAACAGTTTTCTGGTTCTCACCGTATAGTCGAAAATCTTATATTTTCCCCTTTTTTTAGCCTTTTATTCAAAGAAAGAGGTTTTTCAACATCCTTAAATATTTTACTATTAAAATAAAAAATCTAAAAAAACTACTTGAAGTATTTTTGAGCCTGGGAACTGCCAAACAGGAACAGATTATTATATAGGTTTGTTTTTACAAGGTTTTCATTAGGGATAATACTTTAATGACGACCTTCTTCAATATATTGATCTGAAGAATTAATCTTGGTTTCTACATTAAATGTTGTCCCTTAGTCTCTTAAGTGTTAAGTTCCCATTATTGTGGCCATGGCTCGTGGAGTACCTTGTATATTAAAATATTTCATTTTATAATTATGTCGAAATTTCGGTTTTTAGTCAAAGATGGATACACTGCAAGAAAGGAATTTGATTTATTTCTTATATCAATGTATTCCGATTGAAAATTTATTTAATAAAAGCTCAATCATGACCGCCTTTTTTATGCAGAGTTTTTTTTCAGCAATAATTATAGCAAAGTTTAATTTCTTTGTTTTTTTTAGATTCATTTTATTTTGTTTTTTAACGACGATTTTAAATCTGTTGAAAATTTTGATTAGATTGTAAATTCCGGAACTAAGGCCTTTAAGAATTTTATAAAACCTACTGATTTCGTTAAAAATTGATTTAAATAGGGTTCAGGTATAAAATAGCCAATTCTTTTATTTTCTTTAAAATTTCAATATGAGCACTTTTTGGAGTCAAAAAGATTTTTAACTTATAGAGAACTTTATAAATTCGTGTCTTAACCATTTTCCATGGTTTTTTTACTATTATATTTATACCTTAATCTCAGTAATTGTAAAAATAAAGAAATACAGCTCCATAGAATTCTACAAGTACAAACTAAATATTTGCTGCCGTCCACTATCAGTAGGTGAAGAAGACGACATTTTATAAAATATTTCGATATCTCCGAAGTTCTTGGTTTAACTGTATGTAGAGAATCACTGTGCAGGGATGAAACAAACTAAAAAGTTTTTAAGTGAAATTTTCTTCATTTCTATAATTTTTTTTTTTTTGTTATTTAAGATGAAACATCACCTGCCACTGCTGCACCTACAGATGCATCTACATCTGCATCAACAGGTAGCAGAATAAGCTATTAACCTACAAATAAGGGAGGGGGGGAAGGGCTACTGCATCAACAGGTAGCAGAATAAGCTAATAACCTACAAATAAGGGAGGGGGGGAAGGGCTACTGCATCAACAGGTAGCAGAATAAGCTAATAACCTACAAATAAGGGAGGGGGGGGAAGGGCTACTGCCCTTTTTTGAAAGTTTCACCTTGAAACTTCTTGAATTTTAAGAAAAAGTTATTTAAATGCTTTTTCTTTCTTTTTTGAATGCATATGTTTTGCTGGGATATGGTCAAAAGGAAAATAGTTCTTGTCTGAAAATTTCCCACTTATAATAAGTTGTCAGACAAGAAAAGGCTTTGATCGTTTAGAAGAGACTTATTTTTTTCTCCGATGATCTATGCTGACTACCTTTGGTAATTTGACAGGGTAATTTGACACGTCATTAAATATAATTTCTGATGGTTTGAGGTCCGTTTTAAACTATGATGCATATTAAATGCTCAATAATTTGGTTTTCAAAACTATTGGAAATATTGTTTTATAAAGGGTTTGGAAAAATCTTTTGTTTAAAAGCTTTGGTTTTTGAAATGAACCCGACTTATCAGTGCAGTCCCATGAGTTTAATCCACCATATTTGTATTCCAGGGAGCACAGATTATACAACTGATTATTATACTGACTATACTGACTACACTGACTACACAGATAGCACAGGGGGTGTTACAGGTAATGATAATCACAAGAGTTTTCACCTTTTAGCTGACAGAACTGATCTAGAATCGAGGTTGGACCCATAAAGGAACTTCAGCGTAATTTCATGTGACTCTCCATGCAAAGAGAGCAATAACTGATATCTATAATGGTACCCTTTAAACCTTGATTGATCTCCATGTGTAAATCCTACGAAAATCACTTGAATTCTTGTAAAAACCAGTGTACGCTGTGTACAATGTGAACTCAATACAGCTGATCCGTTACTTGTAGGTGTGTCCCATGAAATTACCCAATATTGTATGATAAAAGCAATTTTCAAATATCTAAAAGAAAATATTTATTATCTGTCACTTCTAGAAATTGAACATTAATATTTTAAAAAATAGAATTTATATTGCACACAAAGTGTTCAACAATAAGAATTGTTTCTGAAAATGTATAAATCCAACAACCTTTATCAGTTTTAATGTTTAAAGGGTAATATTGTGAAATGGTCGCCCCACTGAAAACTTTAAAATTTGCCTAGATAATATACGATTCATAAAACTTTAATTTACCTAGCAATGGCCCCTTTCTTTTTGTTCTGGCATACGTTGACTAGCTTTGCAAGTTGTTGAAGTGATCATAGCTAATTGTTCTAAATCATTTGGCCATGTATATACAAGGCGTTAGCTTTAGTTGATTTCCTGGAATCCACTAAGTCCCTGAATTCAATCAAGCACAATAAGTCAATTTAACCAACTATTGATTAAGAAGAAACCCTTATATTTTTATCTACAAAAACGTTTACTACAGTTTCTAAAAGAAATTTAAACAAAGTCTGAACATAACTGAGTTTGATAACTAACTTACAGAAATATCCGGAATGATTGTCTGTAAACGTTCAAAAGAAAGGAGAAGAATTGAAGGTATGTGTGCCAAAGTATATATACACTTTAATCCTTGTTTATTTTTCTGTGTACTGCAATTTTTTTTTTTACTGGCATGAAGTGTATATATACTTGGTACAACTCAGGCTGAATTTATAAATTTTCCAACTGATTACTTTTGTTTATTTTTTGGATGGGTTATCTTAAAGACTTTGTTGCAAGGAATCCAGGTTATATACCATCAAGGTGCCCCTGTATAGCAAATCAAAGTGGGGGAGGGGGCAATAATATTCTAGTCCCCTCCTAAGCTTAATTTTCGTCCAATTAAGTTTATATCTATGAATTGAACTAATTAAAATTTCTCTCTTATAAAAATGTCACACCTGTGGAATTCATAGGTTTAACTTCCAACTAATAAGTTAAGCAAATAAAGCAGAATATACCTGGAAGTTGGAAAACTGCAAATTTTTATACAAATGGTGTCTCTACTAATGCATATAAAATTTATGTTTAACCGGAAATTACTCTCTAGAAAAAACCAGACTCTAAACTATCTCTTCATGTTGGTGTCTATGTATGCAATGTATGTATCTATAATTTTGTATGTCACACCTTAGTTGGTCATTGCTTTCATTTATCCCTCTCTTGTTCTTTGAGACTAATCCCAAATTGAGAAGGAAAAACCTGAAGTCCGAAAGCAGCATTGAACCATCCTTTATTTAATGCATCTATGATTTCATATTTAGTACCAACTACTGGAGGTGGGGGAGGAGGAGGGGGAGGTATAAATATTCCAGAGCTACCAATTCTCCCCTTTCCAACAGGTAAGCATTAAAAAAGTAATATGAAGATGTAAGACCATGAGCTTTTCTGATAATAGAACTATTGATCTTATCAACTAATGATCAGTTTTAAAGCATTGATCATTCAATCAATTGTTTGTTTAGTTGGAGGAGGAGGGAGTGATGCCCCGTTTGTTCTCCCTGATTTTGCTCCCTGTCCTGAAACCCCTGGCGTATCCTTTACCTGGGTAGTCGTCTTTGTTCCAGGCACTGATAATAAAACATGGAGAGTTGCAATGCACAATCATTTTGTAAAGTTGATTTTAGACTTTGCTTCTGTACCATACCCTTTTTTATCTGCAGAGACTATTGAAAATAATGCTAATAAAACAAGAATTAAATTAAGAAACTATAAGCTATAAAAAATGAGAGGTATGGCCCTCCCCCCCTCCCCACTTCTCTGTTTAAATCAAGGTAGTGTTTATTATTATCTCAATCTAAAGGACAAGATGGTGATTACCCATCTGTGTGTCTTCCGCAGGTAACAAAAGTTTTTAATTTTCAGTTATAGAGGAAACACTTAGAAATTTAACTATTTACACCCTTTGAGGAATCCAAATTTCTATGTATTGGGTAAGATTTAATCTTGTTTGAAAGATAAAGGTAATTGGTCTTTGAGAGATATGAATAAATCACAATTGAATAGATAAGAGGTTTTTCTACACCCTTTGTCCCGATAAAACTGTCTCTGGCCATTTAGAAAGGTCAATCATACCAAAGCTGCCACAGGAGCGGGGGAAGGCAGGCGGCCATGAGCCACCACTATTTCCCCTTCTGTGCCACATATTAGCTTTTTTCTCTTCCGGCAGCCATGAGCCACCACTATTTCCCCTTCCGGGCCACCACATTTGACTCTTCCGGGCAAAACTACTTTTTTAAATGGTATATTTAGGGCCTTTAAAGTGTGATTTTTAAAAANATCTTAAGTAGAATTGAAAAAATGGTTTGATTTGTGCTTTTTTGCGTGACGCGGCTGGATTTTTAAAAATCACACTTTAAAGGCCCTAAATATACCATTTAAAAAAGTAGAAGTGGAAGAGTCAAATGTGGTGGCCCGGAAGGGGAAATAGTGGTGGCTCATGGCTGCTGGAAGAGAAAAAAGCTAATATGTGGCCCGGAAGGGGAAATAGTGGTGGCTCATGGCCGCCTGCCTTCCCCCGCTTGCCACAGCTTTAGGAATTAATCTGACAGTGTGTATTTAGAGATGGTCATCGTTTTAGGCCTGTTTTTAATCATTCAAGGATTTTTGATTTTTAAGAGGATTCATAAAAATCTGGAATGCTAATCCTATTTCATAATTGTATATTCAATAACTTTGCCTTCAGAGCGATATGTAAAATTTTGTTCTGATCAAAGATATAATGTGCAATTGCTAATTGTGTTAATTTCATGTTCAACTGAAAAATACATTGTATCTTTTTTCATTAAAGTTTTGAAATTTTACAATTATTTCATTTACTTTTAAATTTTTTTTAATCAACCTGGTATTTATTTAGGAGAGTACACCAACTACTCCAGTCTTTACATTGCCAACACCGCCTTTAACTATCCCAACAACAACAACAACAACAACTACAACAGGTTCCTGTTAAATCCTATTGAGAACAAAAAAGGGGTTTATATTTACCAATCAATTTCCCTCCCTTTTTTAATTTGTAGGTAGGTTTGATATTTTAATCAGATCTTTTGTTTCCATCTTAATAGACAACTTATTAAGTAACCACTTGTGATTAAATTGAAATTCTTGGTCCTTTCCGATCATTAACAGATTAAAAATAAATGAGTTTTTCGTTTTATTTCCATTAATCTTTAAAACTTCAATAAGTTACTGGAACTTTACCAAGTCTGCATATCTTGTTCACTTTAATAAGAGACTGTAGTGTAATTATAAGTGACGGATCAAGGATGACAGACTGTTTCTTATTTAACTATACAGAATGATTGTTATTGTTAATAATTAATATAATTATTTTCTAGAAGTTGCAGAATATTAATATTTACATTTAAATTTGTTTAACCTTTGTGAATCTTTCATGAAAGTTCCCTTAAAATTATGCTTCAATTCCATTAGATAGTTGTAAAAAAATTTTTTTCAGAAGAACCTTATCATTACCATCACCATCATCATTATTCTTATGGTTACCCGGCTGTTTACTTTTATGATTATGTGTTCTATGATCCAATAATAGCCCCTGTCTACCAACCCTTCATATATGAACCAGTGCTAGGTAACTCAGAGTCGAAGGGGTATATATTTTTATAAATAACCAGAAATTTTTAGCTCTTTCTTTTCCTTAGAATGACTTTAATGGTATTTTAGCTTTAACTGTTGTAATATATATATATATAGATCTTTAGATCTTTCGGACATTGTACCACTCACCATGGTTCAATTTTTAAAATATTGCACAATTTTGAAAATTATGCAACATTTCTGATCGGTTGCTAAAATGTCTAAAAGATCAAGGGGGGGGGGGACTTATGGTTGTTAAATGAATTTTTATCATTTTATTTAAAGTTTTATTCTAAAATGATACAAAAAATAAAAATATTAAATTGTTAAGGTTGGTTTAGATCTGACAACTCAGTATTAGCAAATGCCTCGAAAAATACCTCAAAATATATGTCATCAGAAACAGGAATACAAGTAACAAATGAAAAAAAAAAAAAAAAATTAAAAATTTTGTGCTTTTTTATCTGAGCTGTAAACTTCAGAATTTGATACCCAATTGATTAATCTGAATATCCAATGTGGACACTTTTAAATTCCTAATACTTAAAACACTATTTTTCTCTTCGTTTTATATCCTTACCAGATTCAGCGCAAGGAGATTTGTCTCATTATAAATGGTGGGTAACTAGCTTGTAATCGGACATGTCTCATTATAAATGGTGGGTAAAATTTCAAATTTTCCGGGATTCTTATGGACTGTTTTGGATTTTACATCTATTGGTTGAATTTTACACACTTTTCAGGATACAAACTAAAGATTAAGTTAATCTTGAGATTAATAAAAAGAGAAGATCAAGCATTGATCTCAAAATTTACAATTCTAAAGTTTGCAGCTCTGAACATTTTTGTTGAGATTTTGATAGCAAACATTCTTGAATTCTGAAAAACAAAAAAAATAATGAAAAAAATCCTTATTAATTTAATTGTATTTTTAAAAGGCTCCAAAAAAAAGCTTCATGGAAATTATCTCCAAAATAAAAGGTCATATATCCTAATTCATTAACCTAATTTTTTTTTTTATTCATCTGGCTGCGCGGATCTTTCAAAATTTCTTCAAATCAAAAATGGGCTTGACGGGGGGGGTGGGGGGGGGGGGACATTTTTGATTTTATAAGGATTTCCATTATGATATTTTTGCAAATTTGATAAATTTAAAATATTTAAAGTTTGTCTTTTTTGTGGGAAATTAGGTTCTGATTTTTTTCATAATATACATAATTTTATCATTTTATAATTATGCAAAATTCAATTCAGTTCATTATTTTTTATTGAAAATAGCTAACTCAGGCATTAAAACCGACCTGATAAATATTTTCATTTTAAAAAATCAGCAAATTTCGAGACTTTATCAGAATTTTCAATTTCTTAAAAAAAATGTTATGGGTCAAAAAAAGAAATTGAAAAACACCTCTAAATATATATTTTTTTGGTCCCTTTATTAAGCTTTTTCTCTTAAAATCTCATTTTAAACAGTTTAGGTACAGGGTGTCCCAAAAACCATGGGAATTCAGTGACGAATTTGATATCGTCTTTGTTATGAATTAGTATTGTAATACCTAATTTCAAAAGCCATAATATTATTATGTCTGCTAGAGCTTATTTTATGAAAAGGGTAAAAGACTGTAAAGATGTGTCTATAATGTCTCCGCAAGACGAACAGTGAAGACAGACAAGTTTACTCTGTTTGTATACTGCAATTTTCTTGTTTTACTAAGTACAACTGTATGCAGTCAAAACATAAACAAACAAAATGTAAACATAGCAGACGAAACTCTTACAGATTATAGCTTTCTCAGTAGGTATCACTACACTAAATCAAAGAATTATTTGAAAAGACGATATCGAATTCGTCACTTAATTCCCATGTTTTTTGGGACACCCTGTATATTAAAACTTCAAGGTATATTTTAAAAACCGCACAGCAAAAAATTCAATATTCATAGGGGTGGAAATCAAAGAAATAAGAAGAATAAAACATCGAGAAGAAAAAAAGAAAATACAAATGGGGAAAAAAAAGTTGTGAAATCAGGTAGCTTTTCCAAAAAATTATCAGCTGTCAATCAAGATGGAGCTCTCGGAAGAAAAAGTAAAAGGCGATCAAGGAAACAACGGAAAGTTTTGAAGAAGAAAGTCCAGATTTCTCAAGATCGCCAGACAAGAAAAGAAGAATCTCAAGATCACCCAATAAGAAAAGAAAGATCTGCGATGACCTGGGATGAAATTGCAGAATGGAGAAGAACCTGGAAACCAAACCCAACCAAACCAGGAAGGTGGGAGACTATCAAACATTACGAACATTTAGTTCGAAATTATTAACAGAATGTTAGAAATATCTCACAAATTCTAATATTGTTGACATTCTGTTTGTAATTTTGAACAAAATGTTCGTTATTTTTAACAAAATGTTACTTATTTTAAACAGAATATGCATTATTGTGAACAAAATATTCGTTAGTTTGAACAACATGTTCGTTATTTTGAACAAAATGCTTGTCATTTTGAACAAAATTTTCGTTATTTTATACAAAATATTCATTATTTTGAAAAAATTGTTTGCTATTTTGAACAAAATGTTCGTTTTTTTTAAACAAAATGTTCGTTACTCTGGACAAAATCTTCGCAATTTTGAAATACTTTTTTTTTTGAAAATAAATTTGATTTTGCTCAGATATAAATATTTAATAACTTTTTTATATTTAGAGCAGCTAGCAGACCAAATATAAACTATATTTCTCAACCAATCCTGAAGCATTCAATAGGCAGCCAGCAAATAAAATCTTCTTCAAACCTGGTTAATTTCAAAAATTCCAACCTTCTCCCTGGTCAATCACTGGTAACAGAGAATAGAAAACCTGACCAAGACAGATACAATACCTTAAAGGAACTTAACGCGTAATTTTAAGTGACCTTCCATGCAAAGATGGCAATGCCCGATTTACAACGGTACTGAAATCTTAATCTGATCAAAAATGTGCATGGAAGCTTGTTTTTTAAGGTTTACGGGCGTAAACCTAGTGTAATTTATAAGTGCGCAAGTCTCCTTTGCAAAGAAACCACTACTGAAAATAATCAGTTTTAAAAACTATAAACATTGATATCTAGTCCTTACTTGATCAGACAAAGCTTTTAAGGGTACAGTTGGGATGCGGACATCTTCATCTTGGGATCTTCAACTATTGAGATCTTCATCTTGGGATGCAGGGTTACCTGAAATTACGCTTACAGTCCCTTTGATACAGGGTTCAGTTTCAAATAGAGCACCTGAGCCCCAAACTTAAGACAGGGTATTGTTATGAAAACCAGTTTTAAAACCCGGGTTTTACGAATGGGGTTAGGCAGTTTTGTGGATATCAATATTTTTGTTTATGAAATATTTTTTTATTTATTTTCTTTATATTCTCCATTTTTGTTGAATCTCTTAAATCAAAATCTACAAAATATTAAGACCCCAAAAAGGAAACTCGAGAGTTTCGTTCAATGATACTCTTTTAAATTTTGGGCTCTGGCACCAACGTAAACATTCAAGTTAACCAGGTGCAGTACACATTTTGTTTGAGTCTCGAACGAAGGAGGGGGTGCAGGGCCGCCATGAGCCCCGCTAGTCACCGTATTCGCAGATGAGTATTTAAAATGATCTGGCGGTACCCGTAAACGTTAGAATAGAGTTTATATAAGTAATAAATAACATTTTTAAAGAAAATTTTTTATTTTTAATTACTTATGCAGTGTTTTCTTGAATATCCAAAAAACATTGCATAACTATTAAATATCAAATATTTTTTCAAAAATAATTTTACACATACTTCTATAAGATCTATTCTAAAGGATAGGGGTAGCGCCAGGTCATTTTAAAAACTCATCTGCGAATCCAGAGTCTTGGAGACCATTTCGTGGGGCTCATTGCCCGGGCAACCCCTCCACTCAAAAGAATTTCCAAATTGAAAACATCTTGGTTGAAATTATGAAAATACATAATTTGTGGGACATGTAATATTTAAACATTAAACATTAAACATTATAAAAATCTAATATTTCAGAACCAGCCAAAGCAGGAAAGCATAAGCTCACAGGTGAAACAACAAAAGCCAAATTTTTAGAAAAGAAATTGAGCCTTTGCCACAAACTCAGATTTTTTAATTCTTATATTCATATCTTCCTAATCAAATGTCATGATATTTTAAACTAGTAGTTCTGTTAAATAAAACAATTTTAGTTTTAAATAGCAAAAACCATCAGATTTGAATTCGAAAATTTGAGTTTGTGGCACAGACTCAATTCTTTAGAATTAGAATTTTTTCATGAAAGTGGCAGTAGATGTAATTTCATTTCACCCTCCTATCAAATGTGAGTGACATGTCCCCCTCCTCTCAAATATGAGTGACATGTCCCCCTCCTATCAAATATGAGTGACATGTCCCCCTACTATCAAATATGAGTGACATGTCCCCCTCCTTTCAAATATGAGTGACATGTCCCCCTCCTATGAAATATGAGTGACATGTCCCCCTCCTATCAAATATGAGTGACATGTACCCCTCCTATCAAATATGAGTAACATGTCCAACTCCTATCAAATATGAGTGACACGTCCCCCTCCNGACATGTCCCCCTCCTATGAAATATGAGTGACATGTCCCCCCTCCTATCAAATATGAGTGACATGTACCCCTCCTATCAAATATGAGTAACATGTCCAACTCCTATCAAATATGAGTGACACGTCCCCCTCCTATCAAGTATGAGTGACATGTCCCCCTCCTATCAAATATGAGTGACATATCCCAATAAAAAAGCCCCGGTTCATTAGTCGTCTTTAAAAATTTGTCTGATCAAGGATGAATTAAATATTCTTATTTTTCTATGTTTTTGTTTCTTTGAACTGTTAATTTTAATTTGCGGTTTCTGTGCAAAAGTGACTTGCGCATTTCTTGCCTATAAAGAGCAACGAAGAAACTCACAGAAATAGTTAGAAACACAATGTTATCTATATAATAAAACAAGATAGTCATATAAATGTTGCGTATAGCCGGCCAAACAGCTGGACCGATTGGACTGAATTTTTTTGTGGACACTCATTGTGATAGGTTATAAAAATTAGAATTATTTTATAAAAATTTTATTTTTTTATTTAATTTATTTTATTTTTCAGCTAGTCTTCCATATTTTTAATCATAATAAGGTTTCAGTGTACCGTGGCAAATCGGGCATTGCCATCTTTTCATCGAGGGTCGCTTGAAATTACGCTTATCAATCCCTTTAAGACTAAGAGACATTTGTATTAATTAGGTTTCTGGATTCCTACAGAGTGTTATAAACAAATATTCTGGAGGTGGATCTCCGATAATAATAAAAAATAATCAGGTTAAAAAATATATATTTTTGTGTTTTTTGATTTGAGAGAAAATTGGATAAATCTACAGTAAAATCCAGAAAACTCTGAATTAGGAAGACGACTTGACGACTCAAGTTGTGACTTTAAAAATTCCAATGTACATGAGACACAGCAGTGTAAACAGATTCATTTCACTTAATTAGTATTTTGAAAATTATCTAGTAAAACTATTTGCTTTGTAACAACATCAAATACAATGCTATAATGTCGTCTTCTTATTCGAATTGTTTTCTGGTTATCACTGTAGGTTTTTTCAGAGGTTCAAATCCTTTAAATTTTGGCTTACATAAATGTTCTATATACTCATCAGTTTTTGTTAAGACATCTGTACAATCAAAGCTTGAAAATATCAACGGAAAAAAGCATCACGGAAATATGGAAAAGAGAATAAGGAGAAAATTGAAACAATTTAGCAAATCAAGCATAGGTAAGTTATGCCAAAAAATATAACTATTTTATTTTTTTTTTTTTTTTCTTTACTCTAAAATTCTGTTCATACTTCACTATAATTTGGAGAAATCAGTTGTAAAAAACTTTAATCCAAAAAGAGTAAAATTAAAATGTTTTCATTTGCATTTCAACTGCATTGCACAATCTATCTATTTTTTTACTGATGAGATTATCATTTGGCAAATATCAATTGCTCAGACCCGACCCGACCCGCCTTATTTTTAAAATCGCAAAATAAGCGACGCGTGTCGCAAACTCAAATTTTGTAATCCCTCCCTATATTTTTGCAACCAGATGTCGTATAACCTTTGATATTTCAAACAATTAATTTTGTTAGATCAAATAGTCCAAGTTTAAAAAATCAGCGGTTTACACCATCAGGATGCAAAGATTTAGTGATTAGAAAATTTAATATTGGGGAAACAACTAAATTTTTTTGCGATTTTTTCTCGTTTCCGAGATATACAGTGTTTTTACAATTTTTCTGATTTATTACACAAAAACTAGTTCCTGAGCTATTCTATCAGTAAAACGTAACAAAAATATTCAATGCCAACGTAAAGTCCGTTATGCAGATTTTTTAAAGTGTTTTTAAATTATTTATTTTACTTTTAGACTCCATGATCAATTTATCTAAATCAGAAATAGGAACTCTTTCTATCAACACAAAACATCCTAAGGTTAGTAAATGTACAGTGACATTCATAAAACTGTGGAATATGAAGATGACATTTACGTAATTTAGTGTTTTTTGATGTTGTACTTGATGAGGGGAGGAAGGCCAGCCACAACAACTTCTCGTCCGAGCCACATTCTCCTCATTTTCTCTTTCCGAACACCCTCGAAATCCTCGTCCTTCGTTTATTCTTCGTTTATTATGTATTGAAAAGTTTCTAATTCTTGAAGATAAAACTATTTTTAACAAATCTGAACTCGTTAGGGCATAACATATGGATAGACTGAAGTATTGCAATGATTAAATCATGTTTGAAACTTTTAGAGTCATGAGAATGATGTCAAACTTTATTTAGGTAAAACTTAAAACTCTTCTCCTCCGTAATGGCCTACCTTCGCGATATGAAATAAATAGCAAAATATTTGGCATATCTATGCCTGTCATTTTCCCCATGGAACCACCTGGAAAAAATATATGGTTTTCACTATAATTAAGAAAAAAGTTCTTCAATCTCGGAATTATTTGCGGCATTTTACACCAAGAATATCTGAAAATGCGCGTAGAACTCGAAAACTTTACTTCAATTGAAACTATTTTTTCGATTTACTGAAATTCAATATTTCATTTATGACCTAACGTGGCCCGATTCTTAAAAAATTGTTTTATCTTGGAGGACTAGACACTTAAAAAAAATAATATTGGAAGGACGAGGATTTAGAGGTGGCTCGGGCGAGAAAATGAGCAGAATGTGGCTCGGACTAGAAATGGTTGTGGCTGGCCTTCCTCCCCTCATTTGAGGTCGTCTTCTAGACGACAGTTTTATAGGTTCTAGGTTGTATAATGTATATTGTTCTGTACAAAGTATGTATACAATATACATGCTGTTGTGGCGCCCCTGGATTCCTGGAATACAGTTCACAACAATTTGTTTGTTATTGTTTAGATTATGCATCTGTGTTAAAATAAATTCGAAATATAAGGAAGACGATTTTTCCGACTCAAATGCCGACGTTAATTCTCAATGTTTGTGTACACAGGAAGCAAGCACACCACATGTGTCAAATCCCCGCTCACCTTAGATCCCCGCTTCAACCGGCAGTCAGTTACGAACACTCATATTCACATTGTGCAAATATTTCAAAACAATTTTATTTTTCTTAAATAAATGTTATAGAATATTTGTGTTTTTTCCTGATTTCTTTATTTGTATGTTTTCCGACCTTTTTAAAGGTCAACAATCTGGTATAAATACTGCGTTTACATAATAAATATTCAGTCTGTTTACTTCTCTTGTCATTTAAACATCGCTACACTGTCATAACAGTAACTGTAATTGCATTAAGTACGTCTGTGTCCCCGGTAAATTCTGGACTTTTAAGCATATCAGGTCAAATTGTACAGTATGCATCGGGACAGTACAATAAATGAATCACCTCCTTATTTCGTGTTACCGTACGAAAGGTGCTTTGCAGTAAGAGTAATTCTGCAGTACATTAGTTTAGAAAAAAAATATTTTTGTTCCCAAGAGTCGGTTACCATTAAGTATCTGTAAGAACACACTTATTTAATGGTAACCGACTCGTGGGAAATAAAATATTATTTTTCTAAATTTTTTGAATCAATATGTCTTTTTATATTTGATCTAAATTCTTAGTAACAATAAATGTTTTCTAATTCAGCAGAATAGATGTTAATTCTATTATTATTACTAGGCTTTTAGGGCGCTTATCTTCTCTTTCAATTGTGAATATTTTCTCTTTGTATACATTAATAAAACGAAAAGTTCGCGGATTTTATAAAATGATTCCGTGGATATTTAAATTTCATGAAAATCGAATTTTGTTGGAGACAAATTTTTTTAATTTTGACCATTCATAAGCCTTCTCTGGTGTCATTTGAGGTCCCACACAAATTTGGGTCCTGATCGGTTCAGCTGTTTTGACGTTTATTGGATACAAACAGACAGACAAACAGACAAACAAAGTATATATAAGTAATTTATATATAGATTTCGAAAGGGTATATACTATATTTCGAGTTTGACCTTATTTGTTAATCTGCAATTAGTATAATAAAAAAGGATTTTTATTATTAACTAATTTGTAAACAATGCATGTCATGATTAACAACAGGAAATACTCGTTTTAGACATCTAATTGTTGAGTTTATAATATAATACTGTAGTTGATACAAGCACACTCCACTAAATCCCACTATTTCTTCGGCCAATATACTGCAGATACTGCAGTAGGCAGTACGCACCGAAGGCTTTGTTTTGGGTTTTGATACTAACCTTGATAAAACATTTTTGTTTATTTTAAATCCATTCAAGAAAGTCCTGGGATAAAAAGTATTTTGAAAAAAGTACTAGAGTTAAAACACTAGAAAAAGTACTAGAGATAAAACACTAGAAAAAGTACTAGAGATAAAACACTAGAAAACGTACTAGAGATAAAACACTTGAAAAAGTACGAGAGATAAAAACACTAGAAAAAGTACTAGAGACAAAACACTAGAAAAAGTACTAGAGATAAAACACTAGAAAAAGTACTAGAGATAAAATACTAGAAAAAGTACTAGAGATAAAATACTAGAAAGAGTACTAGAGATAAAACACTAGAAAAAGTACTAGAGATAAAACACTAGAAAAAGTACTATAGATAAAAACACTAGAAAAGTACTAGAGATAAAAATACTAGAAAAAGTACTAGAGATAAAAAACTAGAAAAATTACTAGAGATAAAAACACTAAAAAAAGTACTAGAGATAAAAACACTAGAAAAGGTACTAGAGATAAAAATACTAGAAAAAATACTAGAGATAAAACACTAGAAAAAGTACTAGAGATAAAATACTAGAAAAAGTACTAGAGATAAAATACAAGAAAAAGTACTAGAGATAAAATACTAGAAAGAGTACTAGAGATAAAACACTAGAAAAAGTACTATAGATAAAAACACTAGAAAAGTACTAGAGATAAAAATACTAGAAAAAGTACTAAAGATAAAACACTAGAAAAAGTACTAGAGATAAAACACTAGAAAAAGTACTAGAGATAAAACACTGGAAAAAGTACTAGAGATAAAAACACTAGACAAGGTACTAGAGATTAAACACTAGAAAAAGAACTAGAGATAAAATATTAGAAAAATTACTAGAGATAAAATACTAGAAAAAGTACTAGAGATTAAATACTAGAAAAAGTACTAGAGATAAAACACTAGAAAAAGTACTAGAGATAAAACACTAGAAAAGTACTAGAGATAAAACACTAGAAAAAGAACAAGAGATAAAATATTAGAAAAAGTAGTAGAGATAAAAGCACTAGAAAAGGTACTAGAGATAAAATACTAGAAAAAGTACTAGAGATAAAACACTATAGAAAAAGTACTAGAGATAAAACACTAGAAAAAGTACTAGAGATAAAATACTAGAAAAAGTACTAGAGATAAAACACTAGAAAAAGTATTATAGATAAAACACTAGAAAGTACTAGAGATAAAATACTAGAAAAAGTACTAGAGATAAAAGACTAGAAAAAGTACCAGAGATAAAAACACTAGAAAAAGCGCTAGAGATAAAACACTAGAAAAAGTACTAGAGATGAAACACTAGAAAAAGTACTAGAGATAAAAACACTAGAAAAAGTACTAGAAATAAAAACACTAGAACAAGTACTAGAGATAAAACACTAGAAAAAGTACTAGAAATAAAAACACCAGAAAAAGTACTAGAGATAAAAACAATAGAAAAAGTACTAGAGATAAAACACTAGAAAAAGTACCAGAGATAAAAACACTAGAAAAAGTACTAGAAATAAAAACACTAGAAAAAGTACTAGAGATAAAAACACTAGAAAAAGTACTAGAGATAAAACACTAGAAAAAGTACCAGAGATAAAACACTAGAAAAAGAACTAGAGATAAAACACTAGAAAAAGTACTAGAGATAAAACACTAGAAAAAGTACTAGAGATAAAACACTAGAAAAAGTACTAGAGATAAAACACTAGAAAAAGTACCAGAGATAAAACACTAGGAAAGTACTAGAGATGAAAACACTAGAAAAGTACTAGAGATAAAACCACTAGGAAAAGTACTAGAGATAAAACACTAGAAAAAGTACCAGAGATAAAAACACTAGAAAAAGTACTAGAAATAAAAACACTAGAAAAAGTACTAGAGATAAAAACACTTGAAAAAGTACTAGAGATAAAACGCTAGAAAAAGTACTAGAGATAAAAACACTAGAAAAAGTACTAGAAATAAAAATACTAGAAAAAGTACTAGAGATAAAACACTAGAAAAAGTACTAGAGATAAAAAACACTAGAAAAAAGTCCGAAATTTACTCCAGTTCTTTGAAAAAAGTCATGAAAAATAAAGTCATACTATCATTTTTTACTATTCTTTAGACAGTTGAAATCCCATGGGCCAGACTCAAGAAGGTGTTAAAATATGGGTTAAGAGGACCGGATGTATCCAGGTAGAAATTTATAGCAAGTTTTATGACCTTCGAATCGAGTTTAAGTAGTATACTATGCTAAAGTTCTCGGCGTTGTCATTGGAATTTCAAAAACTAAATTGATTAAAAAAAACACATCGAAATTTCGTTTTTTGAAAAAGAAAATCAATTTCTTTTGCCAGTCACCTCCAGGGTACCCAGGATATACTCAAAAAATGTCAGCTAATAGCCGTTTGACCAGCTATAGCTTACAATGAGCAAAGTGCTTTATAGAATAAAGATTATATATTGTTACCCCCAAAGGACTGAACTTTAAAGACGATAATCAGTTTTTTATTGACATTCTTGGACAACTGAAAGACGAATTAAAGATCACCATTGATCCAAAATTTAATCACAAAACAACCTATTTCAATAGTCAAAGACGATTTTCAAGATTTCTAATTAATTGTAAAGAAATTCAGCTTCTTTTTAATTTCACTTTAACATAAAAATCTTCCTTTTTCTGGTAACCACTGTAAACCTAATTTTCTGGTAACCACTGTAAACCTAATTTTTTCTGGTAACCACTAAACCTATTTTTTCTGGTAACCACTGTAAACCTATGGTAACCACTGTAAACCTATTTTTTCTGGTAACCACTGTAAACCTAATTTTTTCTGGTAACCACTGTAAACCTATTTTTTCTGGTAACCACTGTAAACCTAATTTTTTCTGGTAACCACTGAAAACCTAATTTTCTGGTAACCATTGTAAACCTATTTTTTCTGGTAACCACTGTAAACCTATTTTTTCTGGTAACCACTGAAAACCTATTTTCTGGTAACCACTGTAAACCTAATTTTCTGGTAACCACTGTAAACCTAATTTTCTGGTAACCACAGTAAACCTAATTTTCTGGTAACCATTGTAAACTTAATTTTTTACCGTTTAAGCCGTGGTTTGAGTAAGTTTGCCAGAACCAACTTTAATCTGAAGTCCAGCGAAATACAAGATCTACAGAGATCATACAAGAAAAAAACTAAATTAAAGGTAACTAGTAAAATTCAAGAAAAGTTAAAAATGAAAAAAGGGTTATTTTTGTACTTTTAACTTGACTTTGTGACTTTGTGAAATGTTAATGTGTAACATAGAAATATAAAACGAAAATTCTTTTAAGCATTTTTTATAAAATTTCGTTAAAAATCCAATTTTAAAGGGAGTGTTCGCGAAAAAGGAAGGGTGGTTTAGGCTTGCGGCGAAAAAAAATCAATTTTGTTCGCTGCTAAGCTTACTTCTATCTGTTGCGTCTATAAGGAGAAAATTGTTAATTGTTAAAAACGACTCTTGCTGAAGAACGTAGCGTCCATACAAATTCAGAAAGTTGCAACATTGAACTTGGATCGTAAAATAATCAATTTAATTCCAAACAAATCATTCAGTGCAAATATTACAAACAATAGTCATAAATTATTTTTCGACGCAACCGTACATAGTTAATATTTGATAATATTTTTGATTTTATTTTTTAAATAATATATATATCGCCGGCGCCATGGATTTAAGAACATTCCTGGAGAATATAAAAATGTCGTCTTCATTGTCAACAATCCGCGAAACAGGAATAAATGTTTTTAAAAGTAACTATCAGATCATAAAAAATAAAAAATATTATGAAATATCAACTACAGGGTGTCCCATCAAACATGGCAGTTGGTGAATAGTTAAGAATGTCTTCTTCCATAATTTGTAAAGTTGTTTGATACCAATTAGACAATAATACAAATATTATATGGGAGTCATGTTATGGTAAAATTGGGTTGAAAGTAAAATAAATTTTGGAAAAAGATATTTTTAACTTAATAAACTGCAAAAAGCCTTTAATATCTAATAAAGTATATGGAAGACGACTTTCATAACTATTTACCAACTGTCATGTTTCGTGGGACACCCTGTATATACAAATGCGTCAAAAAAATTATCGTTGATTATTGGTTGTAATATATGAATGATTTGTTTGGAATTAAATTGATTAAGTTTAAACGACAGAAAAATCAACTTACTTTATACACACCCAGGATTCTATTCGATAAACCAAACTGTTCTGTTTTCAGACTGATCAACAAGTATCTGCTTACCTGCTTCCCTTGCAGGGAGATGAACAGGCATTTGAATACAAGGTTAGACACAGTCAGAACCAGACAATTCTGGAATAGAAAGTCGATTTTAAGACTTAAGTTATGACTTTAAATAGTCCGTGAATGAACATGAGACACAGTAATTGTGCAGTTTAAACAGACCCATTTCTTAACTATTTGCTAGATATTTTTATAACAACAATGCAAAGTATTGCTATCATGTCGTCTACCTTATCCTTGAATACAAGGTTAGATTCAGGGATACCCACAAGGATGAGATTGTAAAGACGAACCAAAGCTCTAAAAATATGACAATTTAAAGCTTGATTTTTAGTTTCTGCGTTCAATTAAGTATTGACGGTTTATTGAATGATTAAGCACAGAAATAAGTCAGTTTTTGACCTGCAAGGAACCCCGAATGCAAGAAAACGGACTAAAAAAATCCGTACAATCGTCTCTGAAGTCTCATATTTTGTGGGTAACCCTGTATTTGAATACATGGTTAGATATATTTAAATACAAGGTTACATAAAATAATTTCAACATTCCATCCTGGGAGTGCATAAAATAGATCGGGATGAATCATGATTTAACTATAGTGGATGTTAGGTACTTTCCCAAAGTAGTTTCCCCCCGCGGTAACTTCTCAACAGCGTTTTCCAAAGTCGTGACTTCCCAAATGTGCAATTTCCCATGCGGCAACTTCCCAAATCTTTTCTAGCCGCAGCACTAAGTCCCCTAGCTTGTTCTTACCGCAGCGCTCAGTAACCCTTACCTATCAAAGCCGCAGCGCTCGGCTCCAGCCTTCAACTGCAGGCCTAACCGAACTTTTGGGAAGTTGATGTTTGGGAAATTGCACATATTGGAAGTTGCCACTTGGGATTTTGCCTAGTTGTGGTTTTATTGCAAAAGTTTTTAGAAATTTCAATTCTGTGAGGTTTTATTTTTTTATCCTCACACAACCATAAATAATCCCATCCGAGGTCATTAAAAGGTCCTTCATAATATGTGGGCTCAATCAAATCGGACTTTTTGACGTTTGTTAAATTCAAACAAACAACTTTTAACATTTTTACTCTAGGCACATTACTGTGACTATTTGATTAAAAAGACAAAAAAGGGAGATAAGAAAAGAATGAGGTAAACTATTTTTACATTTATATAAAAAATAGAAACTCCTAGTCACAGCTTGTAGAGGATGAAAATCCCAGAAATGGGATTATTATCCTCCTCTCCCTTTACACCCTCGTTATTCATTATGTATTTATAGCTCTTAAACTTAACACTAAGTTAATATATTTTCCAAAAATCCCAAACATCCAGTTAAAAAAACAATTTTTTTGAAAAATTATTATATTTGTTGAAAACTTGTTTATACAATTTGTAAGATCAACATTCAGGGTTACCATAGACAAAGATAGACAAAGAAAAAATACAAAAGAAAATAAATTTTTGAGACAAACTATAATTTTTAATCCCTATATTTTTCCAACCCAATGTTGTAGACCTTTGATATTTTAAATAAATAAATGCTGTTTAAAGAATTCTAATTTTGAAATATCAAAGGTTTACACCATCAGGTTTCAAAGATAAAGGGATTAGAAAATTGGAATTTGTGGCGTAAACTCTGTTTCTTCACAGTTGCAAGGGACTCATTTTCACATCTGGTCTCTCCACAACTTTCAAATGCAAATCACTGATTTTTTAAACAAAAATAATTTTATTTCAGAAAAACTTGTAGAAGGTACAAGAGGAAGACCGAAAAGGAAAAGAATAAAAGAAGAAGATTGAAGCATAAAGCATAAAAATGTTATTTTTGAATATAATTTATTTATATATATTAAACCTAAGCAATATTAAATGCCGTGATTTTGCTGTGTATTCATCTATTCCATTTTTTAAAATCTAACAATTTAAGGAAAGTTTGTTACCGTATTAATTATTAATTACTATAACCTTTTACAATACTTTCACTTTATTCCCTTTTCTACTTTCAAAAAGAAAATGCATTAAAACTGATGATTTATTAAAATATAAGATATGTTTGATTATTAAGTTAAATTACATTTTCCAATACAAATCCAAATTCAAAGCTCCAGATTAAATAAAAAACAAGACATGGTTGAACCACTTAGACGTTGTTCAACCAATTCTCTTTAGCTTAAACATGTGGTTGAACTGAACATGCGCACAACATAATTGGTTAAACTATTTCCGCTAGGCTACAGCCTACATCATGATATTTATAAAATCTGGTCGATGGAATCATTAAAAAAGTGGTGTAGGGGTAGGGGGTGGGGTGATAAATTCCCCCCCCCCCCACCCCCCCCTTTTGTTGCAGACTCCGTGCAAGAGTTTAGTTGCATGTAGGATAAGGATCCACTCTCAGATCTCCTGTTTGGAAACAGTAGAATTCTGCACCAAACTCATACAAACAGCCGTCCAAACAACCAAGGTAGTTTGTCTCCTACAGCATGATTTTTAAAGGGATTGTTCATGTATTTTAAAGGGAGTTTTCATATATTTTAAATGGATTGTTCATGTATTTTAAAGGGATTGTTCGTGTTTTTTAAAGGGATTGTTCATGTATTTTAAAGGGATTGTTCGTGTATTTTAAAGGGATTGTTCATGTATTTTAAAGGGATTGTTCATGTATTCTAAAAGGATTATTCATGTATTTTAAAGGTATTGTTCCTGTATTTGTATTGGGATTGTTCATGTATTTTAAAGGGATTGTTTATGTATTTTAAAGGGATTGTTCATGTATTTTAAAGGGATTGTTCGTGTATTTTAAAGGGATTGTTCATGTATTTTAAAGCACGCATGATGACCCAAAATCCCTTTATGTAAGCATATTTTAGCCGCCCAGGAAACGTGTAAACTGACTTGATGTTCGACATCGGCGTTTAAGGAGTAAATGCTTGCAGGGTTTGTCGGATAGGGCAACGTTCACAATTTAAGCTGAACAGATTTCTTTTAAAGAAATTACAAAAAATGGAAGAAAATTTAGCAAAAAAGCCATAAGCCTGAAATCTGTACTTGATTATTTTTTAGTTCTAAGATTGGTAACTTTAGGTTCACATAATTTTTTTTTCATAATTTTATTTTCTTTTTCGTCTTTTTTACCTTGAGTCTATACAAGCCAGCTAGGGCACCATCAATAACTTGTTTACACGACAGGCAGGGATCCTAGGATAGAAAACTAAAATTTACTTTAAAGTGAAATAAATCATCTTTATTAAATAAATAAATTTATGACAAAAGATTGTGTAGCTTACACAAGTTATATGATTGCCAGGTAGTAGGGAAGAAACCCCACAAGGAACCCAAACCAACTGTATGCTGTACTCTTTAGTCTCTGGGAGTGAACAAATGCAGTACACTCAAAACATGTGAAGGGAACACAGACCACACAGTATACACTGTATAGGCTGAGCAGGCCTATAGTGTCCCAGCACGCTATGCTACGGTTCCATGTAATGTTTTTTGACTGACATCTCACGGCCAGTTGTTGCATTCAGGGGTTAAGTTTTATAACTTTTAAAGAAATACTCAAATTTTAAACATAAAACATAACGTTTATGATATTGTCTATTTTTAAAGATTTTGTATTTCCTATTCATAATACCGCATATTATAGGTGTTAAACAATCTCTTTAACTCTCTTATCTCTGGAAGGAAAGGACCGAAGCTTTAACAAACGCCAGTCATTTTCTTAAACTGGTGACCGTGTTGTGACAGTAATAAATCAAAAAATCATCATAAAAATTGTCTTTGTTTATTTTGATTAACCGTTCCTGCCTTAAAAGAGCACTAAAGATTGGATTACACATTGGTTTGCTTACCTTGATTTGGTTTGTAGTAGAAGTAGCAGGGAAACTAGTAATTGTTTTAGATGAACTTTCTGTTATAGAAGCAGATATATTTGAAGAAGCAGTTGATGTTGTAGTTGTAGTTGTAGTTGTAGTTGTAGTTGTAGTTGTAGTTGTAGTGGTAGTTGTAGTTGTAGTTGTAGTTGTAGTTGTAGTGGTAGTGGTAGATGTAGTTATAATTGTAGTTGTGGTTGGAGCTGTAGTTGTAGTTGTAGTTGTAGTTGTAGTTGTAGTTGTAGTTGTAGTTGTAGTTGTAGTTGCAGTTGCAGTTGTAACTTAAATAGTTTTTAATAAATTTATAATACAGAATGGAAAATGAAAATTGTAAACCCATGTTGCCGATTTGCTAGTTTCAGAAATGAAAAAAAATGTGCTCAGCAGTCTTAAAAAAACAGATTAGCTGTTTATTAAAAAAATAAAGAGTTGAAAACAAAAACAAAATGGATGGGTTTTTTGAAAAACAGCAATTTTCATTCTTTTTTTTTAGACTAAAATTTCATGAAACTTGCAAAAAATAAAATTTTAAATGTATTTTGATGCTTAGAATGTTGTCTTTAGCCCCCCCCCCCCCCAAATTACTACAAACAACCGTTAACCCTTTCACCGTTAACAATTTGACAAAAAGTTAACAAACATTTTTTTGTGCAACTTCTGAACAGCTAATGCCGTTAATTGCAAAAAACTACCGTTAACAGCAGAATCTCTCTGGTAAGGCCGTCAATAAATTTGAGATCGTTAACTAACAGTAGCTTAAAAAAAAACGGAAAATACCATCAACAAAGCGAACGTTCAGGTCTTACCTGACATTTTCCTTTTCTAACTGTTGGAACTACCCGTTAACAAAATGGCTGGAAAAACTTGGAATGTGCCAAGCTCTATAGATAAGTCTATATTCATTCCAAAAGTGAGAATGCGTTCTATATAGCTTTATTTACGACAGTACTATGGACAATAAGGGGCATTAAATATGGATTTATCTGAACCTTTTGGCCATTTTTTTAATTCCCTTACCGCATTCAGGAGCTGCTGGATATTTTGTACAATCACTACATCTCATAGAAGCAGAGGTACTTGGCACAAACTTGCCATCTTTAACATAATTCCATCCAGAGGCCAAATCCTCTGGACAAAAATACTCCAACTAAATAATAATCATTTATGACATGACTTCAATCTGTAAACAGAATGCTGTTATGTAAAATATGACCTCATTTGTTGTAAATGCTGAAGTAGTGTTTGTTGAAGTTGATATTAACCATTTATTTATGTCTGTATTCCAGAATAGGTAATAATTACCACTCTGATAAACTGATTTGCCACCAACAACTGTTGCTGTCTTATCATAGAAAATATTTAATGGCTGAAGTTCTAAGTTATCCATTTTTATTTTGTCACAAGCACAAGTAACTGAAAAAGAAATATTCATAATTTATAAGAACTCCATTTACCAGTAAGTATGTTCAATATTTCAGTATACATATAAACATCATTAAGAAAAATATCAATGTTGCAATGATAAAAAAGGGAATTTCTAAATTTAAATAAAATTGTCTTTGGAGTCATTTCAACTTAAAAACGAACATATTTATACCACTTACCGCATTCTGGAGCATCAGGGTACTTTGTGCAATCACTGCACCGTACTGAACCAGATGTACTTGCAACAAAACCTTGAGTTGATGCTGAATAGTAAAGCCATCCAGATGTTAATTTTTCAAGACATTTGGAATCAATCTGAATTTAATATTTAATCAAACATCAAACAAACAGTAAATCATTTATAGTCTAAGTCATTGTCATCAACCTTTGAGATTCAGTTATCTGCCCTAAATTTGTAAACCCATCATCTAGATGCAAGTTGTAGTCAACTTTTGACCTCTCTGCTGCAACAAGGCCAGGCTTAGAACAAAACTAAGATTGTATTTTCTAGCTTCAGCAGTTGGTTAGCTACAGGGATGCCTTCAAAGGATGCGACTGTAAAGATGTCTAAAATATCTTTAAACTCTTCAAACATAACCATAAGGGTAAATTAAGTCTATTGCCTAAAGTTTAGTTTTTTAATGGCTTAATTAATAAATTAGTAAAGAAGGCAACAAGTTTACTGTTGCTGGGATCATGAATTTAAGAAGTGTTATCCTTAGTGGGTTATCCTGTATGCTTACTTATTGTTGTGATCTGAACAATCAAAGATAATCCTTACTTTGTCTTTTTGACGTAAATAAGTTATAGTTAAATAATCATAAGTAGAGTTTTATGTAACCTTATTATTATTAAGAACATGAGTAAATACATTACTAATCACATTAATATTACTAGGCTGAAGGAGATGTCTGATCCCTTGGACGGGATTCCGAGAATCCCTTGATAAGATCATCTAGATGGTACCGGGCTTGATAGAGGAGGTATAGATCATCATCAAGAGTATCTAGGATATTCTTCACATGCCGGAGTAGATCAGCTCGGAGCCTATCCTTCTGAGCTATGGAGTTCCTCAGGAGCCTACGTTCCAGGACCATGGACCTTGTCAGGTCGCAGACAGTCCCCACACTCTGTAGAAGATGAGGGAACGGTTCATACTCGTCCTCAGAGCTGAGGCTAGTCTCATCCGTATCTACGGGGGACTCATCCTCGTCCAGGTCCGGACACGGGGATTCACATCCCCCGTGCTCAGAGACAGACCGTTGTGGATCTCCTTCATCAATATGTCGTACAGCAGGAACATCAAGCAGAGGAGGATCACCAGCATGCAGGGTACTGCAGGAGCACCAGAGTCTCGGGTTGCAGGTTCCTTAGGTATCTCCAACATCGAGATATATGGCTCCTCAAAGTATGCTGGGGAGAGGAGGGAGATGGGATTGATGGAATGAAGATTGAGGGGGCTGGATAGGATGATGGAGTTACAGCTAGGGTAGAATGGAGTTGCATCAGGGTTCATAGGGTAGTACACTACAGGGAACCTTTCAAGGTGTGAACCTAATGAAGATCTCCGTAGTACTGACTCAGAGGGGTCTGAGAAGCACGGGAATATATATACTCCGGTAGCATCATCTAGCCAGGGGGGAGCTAACACCTCTTCTCGACCTAAACCCATGTTAAGGGACTGTTCCTTGATTCAGATAACTATGTTAATAAATCTTATCAGAATACTTCATTATCTCAAAGATCCCTTAGTCAGAAATTAAGAAACTTTTGAATACTTTATACTCATGCAAGTGAGATAATTTAATAGATTGTTCTTGTACTAAATCAGCTCTTTGCAAAAAAAACCCACTAAATTTTTCAGCAAATCCAAAATGCCAGCCCTAGGTCGAGCTTTAAATATGCACTTAGTCTCTTTGTACTAACATGCAAGCTAGCTCATAATACAACAAATTATGTTAACAAGGGTCTAAATATTCCAAGCAATCCTGAAGAAAGAGTTTTTTTAAAAGAATTAAATTTACATCCTGCTCAGACCATAGCTTAGTAATGACCCAAATAAGGTTAATTCCTTTAAAGTCCGACCTCAAATCTTTTGAATGAAAGGAGAATTAAGGACACTGCAGTGTGTCCAGAAATATGGGAAGACCATAGTTGGCTTTTAGAATTGGGTATGAGAATGCCAATAGCGGAAAATTCTAAAACTAAATTGGGCAAAAGTAATTTACAAAGATAATATGCACCTGATTATAAGCTGCTGCACTATTGCTGTCTATTGAATTAGAAATTGTCCATCCTTTAAACAGAGTATTCCAAAATATGACCCAATTTTCACTTTTGTAAACTGATTTTCCTTCTTTAGTTAAAGTGTCAGACTTTTTATAGAAACCATTTAGAGTGGTAGATTCCATGTTTTCCAATCTGATGTTATCACAAGAACAGGATTCTTAATTAAACATATCAACAATTATATTATGAAACTAAATTAGTAGAAAAAGAGGTAAACATTTCATTTGGAAGAAAAACAATATGCAGCATGGTTATACGTGCATTTGTGTCCCATTAACAAATAAAAATTTACCACATTCAGGAGCTTCTGGATATTTTGTACAATCACTACATCTCATAGAAGCAGAGGTACTTGGCACAAACTTGCCATCTTTAACATAACTCCATCCAGAGGCCAAATCTTCTGGACAAAGGTCTAACTAAATATTAAATCAATTTTTGACATGACTTCAATATTTTTACAGAATGCTTTTATATTAAATATTACCTCATTTGATGAAAATGCTGCAGTAGTAACTGTTTGAGTTGATATTAACCATTTATTTATATCTGTATGCCAAAAGAGGTAATAATTACCACTCTGATAAACTGATTTGCCACCAACAACTGTTGCTGTCTTATCATAGAAAATATTCAATGGCTGAAGTTCAAAGTTTTCCATTTTTATTTTGTCACAATCGCAAGTCACTGAAAAAATAATTATTCATATTTTTAAGAATGGCATGTTAAGTATGTCCAATATTTCAGTATACATATAAACATCATTAAGAAAAATATCAATGTACATTACAAATTTGTTTTAAAGAACTACTGATGTGCAATGATAAAAAAGGAAATTCCAATCTTTAATCAAAATTGTCTTCAGAGTCATTTAAACTTGAAAACATAAATATACCACTTACCACATTCTGGAGCATCAGGGTACTTTGTACAATCACTGCACCGTACTGAACCAGAAACACTTGCAACAAAACCTTGAGCTGATGCTGAATAGTAAAGCCATCCCGATGTTAATTCTTCAAGACAGTTGGAATCAATCTAAATTAGATACCTCAAGCTAGCATTTTGTGATTTTTTTGGATAACTAAATTATCTTATTTAAATTCTTAAGAGGTTCTTTATTTTAACTATTCCGCACATATTAGTAATTTAAACCTGATTGTATGCTGCTGCACTGTTACTATCTATTGAATTAGAAATTGTCCATCCTTTAAACAGACTATTCCAAAATATGACCCAATTTTTACTTTCGTAAACTGATCTTCCTTCTTTAGTTAAAGTGTCAGACTTTTTATAGAAACCATTTAGGGTGGTAGATTCCATGTTTTCCAATCTGATGTTATCACAAGAACAGGATTCTAAATAGAACACATGAATAATTAAATTATAAAACAAATTAAAATTAAAAGAAGTGTACATTTTATTTGAAATAAATAAAATATGCAGTTTTATGTGCATTTGTGTTCTTCTTGCAAATAAAAATTTACCGCATTCAGGAGCTGTTGGATATTTTGTACAATCACTACATCTCATAGAAGCAGAGGTACTTGGCACAAACTTGCCATCTTTAACATAACTCCATCCAGAGGCCAAATCTTCCGGACAAAAATACTCTAACTAAATATCAATCAATTTATGACGTGACTTCAATCTGTTTACAGAATGCTGTTATGTAAAAACTGACCTCATTTGTTGTATATGCTGCAGTAGTATTTGTTGATGTTGATATTAACCATTTATTTATGTCTGTATTCCAGAATAGGTAATAATTACCACTCTGATAAACTGATTTGCCACCAACAACTGTTGCTGTCTTATCATAGAATACATTTAATTCTAGAACATCCACATTATCCATTTTTATAGTATCACAGGCACATGTTACTAAAACATAGTAATTTAAAAACTATTTTGAGATATGCTGAGGACCAGACAATGAAACTAATTTCTTAATTTATGAAAGAAATTATTCCAATTTTATTTTTAGTTTGGTTGGCATTGATGTAAAATATTCAGATTTCAGTTCTCTCCACTGCACTTGAAAGAAATTATATCCATCAGAGGGAATACACATTATTTTAAATACTAATTACCCCTCTGTGCTGGAGGGGTACTAATATCTCTACCAGAGGGGTACTAAATAATACTCAAAACACTAAATAATTCACCAGAGGGATAGCAAGGTACACTAAAACTCCACTGGAGGAAATGAAATTAACAATCAGAACACTTACTATTCCACTGAAGGAATGGTATTATAACAATCAGGGCACTATTTACTTCACTGGAGGTTATGCAACTAACACTTAGTGCATTAATTACTCCACTGGAGACACAGTAATGAACACTCAGAACAGAACTCCATCTGAGGGATGGTGATTAATACTAAGAACACTAATTATTAACACTCAGAACAGGACAATAATTATTCCACTATGAGGGATGGTATTAAGCACTGAGTAAACTCTACTTGCTGGGGGAAAGATGGCAATTAACACTCAGTGCCAAAATTTATTTTTTGAACAAACTTAAAATACAATCATTTTTTTTAACTGAACCAACAATTTATTCAAACACTCTTTCAAAAAGATGTTTATTTTACTGAAAGAACAACTTTTGAGAACTAATTTTTGAAGATACCAAATTTTTATTAATCTTACTTTGATTTATTCTCCATGTTCCTTGCAGAGTTTCCGAAGCTTGAAAAAGTTGAGAGGAGACCCACTTCATCCAGACCCTGTTTGATTTCAACACTAGCTGACCAGGCAATGGAAACCCCTATTGGTCAAACAATATTTAGTTAAATAGGCTTTAAGAGTGCTTCGCGCCATCTTTGATTTTAACTTTGAATTGTTGCTCTTTCTGTGGAATTTTCTCTTCTTAAATATCAATAATAACAAACAAAAGAATTGAGTCTTTTCCACAAACTCAAATTTTCTGATCCGTATATCTTTTCAACCTGATGATGTACACCTTTGATATTTCAAACTTAGATTATTAAATCTGACAGAAATCGTAATTTGAAATATCCAAGGTCCACAACATTTAGATGCAAACATACAGGGATTAGAAAATCAGAGTGTGTGGCAAGAACTCAATTCCTTTTAGTGATTTTTTATATTTTTTATGGATTTGGAAAAATCAGAAATTTCTGACCATCCATAAACATTTCTTGGGGTCAAGTGAGGTTCCACACAAATTTTGGCCTGATTGGTTAAGTCATTTTGACGTTTATTGGAAAAAAAGCATATATATAAACATGTAGATTTATATTTGTGCCAAACTTAAGATATAAAATGTCCATCATTACCTTGCAGTATTTTCCAACCAAGGGCCCTGACATGGTTCCTATTCTAATCTCCAGATAATATTGAGAACAGTCTCTTAGCTGGAAATATCATTTGGAATTAGGGTTTCCAACAAAATATTTGTTGAACAATATTTGTTCAGTTTCATTCAAAATTTTTGTGAATTTTGATGTACTTTCAACAAACTTTTCAACCTCATTTTCACTCGATAAAAATTGAAATTCGTCCATTTCACATCAAAGAAGATTGTTTAATTTCTGACAAGTGTCTGTAAAGGCCCCCCCCCCCCTAGGCTAATGTGTAGCACATTTTAATGTTATATAATAGATAATACAAACTAGCAAATAATCTCAGAAAAAAATAGTTTCTTTATATATTAGTGTGGAGATCCGTAGATATTGTCTTCTAGTCAGGAAGCTCTATATATAAAGTGACCCCAAAGTGTTTTTTTTTGTCAGAAATATATACCTCTCATTGACACATCTAAAATTGGTTTCTACCAAGTCCCTGCTCTTTTCATATACTTAAATATCAAAGTAGGATAAATGCGATGATCAAGATGCTCTGTTTCTTTTTCAGCAACCGTAACAATGTCAAACCCAGACAAGACAAGTCACCCTGATTGCCAGGTTTCTCTTACAACCGTCTCCATCAAGTTGCCCACCTTCTGGACGGATTCCTCAGAGGTCTGGTTCCTACAGGCCGAATCCCAGTTTGCAATTATATGAGTGAAGCCTACATGACAAAGTTCCATCACTGTGTTGCAGCCCTGCCCCAGGATGTTGCCACTCGTCTAATAGACCTAGTTTGTGACTCTCCAGCAGAACCTCATTTTGTCCTGAGATCCCACCTTGTTTAAATGTTACTTATGGTTCTAACACATCAGAGATCTTCAAGATTCTATATGGCTAAAATATTTCTACACTAGAGGAGACTTGTGCTCCAAAATGTATTTGAGAAAATTTTATGGGAAACTAAACCAAAAATTTAGTAATGGTTGTTGAAAACAAGCATAAAATGTAATTGCCGCTTATTTCTTTTCAAATGACAGTACACATTGTGCATGTTTTGTTCTTATTTCAAATCGCACTCCGATATGCTATCATATCATTATGTAACATTTAAATGTTTTGTTGGAATATTTTGTCAATATTTGAATATATAATGTTGTTCTTTAAATTCATTCAAGCTAACTACAAAAAAGAGGACTCTATTCTCAGCATTGAAAGAAACTTGCCGCTTTAAAACTTCAAATTTTATAATCCTCGTATTTTTGTCACCTGATTTTGTGGATCATGTACTCCGCTTTAAATCATGATCTGACAAAGCTTGATTTATCAAATTGAAATGTTTTACCATGAGGTTGCAAAGATAAAGGGATTAGAAAAATTGTAGTTTGAAGAAAATTTTCTGTTCCATTGCCAGTGTAGATTTCTACATTAAAAAGTCAGAGGGGGTGGCTTTTGGGGGGTAAAACCCATTGGGCACCCTTGTTTTATTAGAACACAATTTCGTTTACTGTTCAGCGCTGATTTCAAGATTATAATCTCTAATTGGATGATGAGATAGATAGATAGATGTTACCGCAGTTGTAATTTCTATTGGTTCTGAATAGTCAGCAAGCAAGTGACCCTTATCCGATTCGTTAAACATTTTCCAGCTGTGATTTAGCTGCGATTTCTCAGGCTAACTAGGCGGGGAAGTCACAGCTAAATCATAGCTAGAAAATGTCTAACGAATCGGACCCTGATTCGATCAGAGACTATCGGAAAGATGAAACACTGTGTGGGGATTTTCAGGTCCTATTGAGTGCTAAGCCCCCCCCCCCCTCTGACAAATTCATGTATACGCCCTTGAAAATACTAACCGGTTCTCTCAAATCACAATAGTAAGCTTGTCTTATCTTGTTCCAGTCAGCTGTGCTGAGCCCAGGGCTGCCAATATTTGGTACAGGATAATTAGAACGGAAAACTGGTTTTGTTTTATCAACAGCAAATCTAAGAAAAAATAAGGATTACTTTTAAGAACAAGTTTAGGAAATTTCTTAAGTAACCGTATGCAATATATCGTCGTTTTTCAGATACCAGATTCCGCCAGACACTGTTATAAGTTAGACATCTGAACAGCTAGAGGGAGCTGAACAGATTATACAAGGAAAAACGGGTAAGTTCACCACATGAACAAGTCCCCCTCTAGGGAAATTTTTATATACTTGAAACTACAATTTAAAATATGCATTTTTAGATAGAAAAAAGGATATTTCCATATAATTGTTAACCATTAATTTCAAAACCTCTATAAAATGTCGTCTTCTACTGGAATCTCCTGTCGGAGACAGCCAAACCAAATTTTCAGCCCGCAAATTCCATTGTCCTCCTCCGACGGAGCTTAAAATATTTTCGTTGTTGTGAAATCATTAAAGTTAAGCAAAATATTTTCATAAGAAGCATAAGTGAATTTCGTTAAATATTCAACTGTAATTTTTCAGAAGTTAAAAACGTATTTCAATACTGACCAACAAATAAGTCACCCCTTCTATCCTTAAATAATTCGTAAGATTTTTTCTACTATTAACATTCATTATAACATTGTACAATTAAACATGACCTATAATTTATGTTATTTTTTAGGAAATAAAGATTTTGTTATCGAATTTCTGAGACGGGGTTACTCTGTTGTGTTTGTGTTGTTCGGCCTTTCGGGAAAGAATTGTCTGGGGATAATCGACATCCCCCACCAGAATCCTAACCGGCCTACTATCCTAATTTGTCTTGCGTGTTGCTGTTTTCCGTCAACAATAATATTTTTAAAAAAAAATGTTAAGGAGTTTTACACTTTCTGCTATTTTCCTCCACAAACAAATGAAGTTACCTATTCGGTCCAAAATGCATAAAAGACACATAATCGTATGTACCGGAACGCATTTTCCTCACAATGTTACCACTGATACAATCATCAAAATTAGCAGTTGACTGGGTCACACCATCCAAACTACATCTGAAAATATTAAATTCTGATTTTCTACAAAATACATCTTTGCAACTTGATCGTGATAACCTTGGATATTTCAAACTTTGACCATTTAATCTGTGAGATTTTGTTACAACATTAAATAAATTAAATAAAATTGCTATAATGTCGTATTCATATTCCGTTGTTTTCTGGTTATCACTGCATAGAAGGAATAGAAAGAGTTTGAGACTAATGATCAATATTTTCCAATTTTTAAAGAATTATTATGAATTTCATTTTTTTATAAGAAACTTTACATTCTGGAATATTTTCTCTACCTATAGAAACTGTGTAAAACCAAATTTCGCGAAGTGAACAACGTTTTTCTTCATTTTTACTTTCAACTAATTAAATTATAAAGTGGAAAAATTAGCCTGTACTTAAAATTTAAATTAAAATTTTTTGGATCTAGTTTAAAAATGTAATAGAAGATTTTTTTAATTTGACTTTTTTGAGTCGAAGTTTGAGTGATTGAGAAAATAAAATATTTAAATTTGATCAATTAAAAAGTAAAACTTTTTTTAAACATCTTACATCGTTTTATTTGAAATATCGTCAGTATCCCAGGAGTCTTTCCAGTATTTGTTTGCAATGCCAAGCTGGAATAAATGGTATTCAAAATAAAGATTAAAAAAGAAACTTCGACCCTCCATTCAATGGGGGTTATGCCTTATTCACAAAAGTACCCTTAACACATTAATCCGAGCAAGAGTTGCTCGGAAACCAAAAATTGAAATGAACAGTTTTCAAAAACAAAATATGGATATCTTATGTATACTTCATGAGAAGTATTAATTGTGAATCGGATATGGTACCCTATAAATGAAAGTTTACTTGAATATATACGTTTACAGTTCCTTTAATTATAAAAACTAGGCACAATAGAGAGAGCACTGAGATCTATATAACTCTGAAAAAGTTATTTCTCAACCTTTTAATTTAATTTAAAGTTTGGCAACCGCAATGCCTTGGCCTTTGGTTTTCCTCACCATCTTACTTATACGTTTTTGTAGCCTTAAGTAGATAGGGGCGTTATTTTGTTCTAACAAAATTTTTCCTGAAAACGGTATTGTCGTTAAGACAAAAGACGAACGATGGACAAACCACTTGGATCGTTCAGAGAAATGAAAAAAAAAACAATAGCTTTTAAAAAACAACAAAAGCCAACATCGACTAAAAAAGGTTTAAACGGTCTTGAAAAGGCGATATTTTTTACTGAACAAATAAATTTTCTGAAATATATTGAAAAACCGATAGTTTTTGGCTAATCGAACGATAGTTTAAGAAAATGAACGAAATAGATGAAAAAAACGATAATTTTAAGGACAAATGAAATCATTTATTTTAAAAGATTGAAAAAAACTAACGAAATGGGTCGTTCACGAACTATGGACGAACGAAATGAAAAAGCCGAACTCGCCCAACTAGCCTCAAGGCATAAACATTTTAAATTGCAACGCACTTGTTTTAAGCTTAAGTTAAAAAGGTAATTGGAAATAATACTGCTCGGTTTTTCGTGAAAGCGTGCACAACAAGTCTTTGATTATGTCCAACAGCTGTATATGTCAAGAAATAAATAATGAGGAATCATAAATTTTGGAAAGATTGTAAACATTTATTTTTAATTTTTAAGTCACATGTCCACAGTCTAATTATTTTGAATACCTGTAAGTTTGTCCAGTTGATGGTGATAAATTGATCTCTATCCGGTCGCTGATGTTCATGCGACATTCCCAGTATTTGTAATAGCTCGTGAAGCACAGTCACCTTAAATGTGCCGAAAGTCTAGAAGCCCGGATCAGTCTTTGATCAAGACTTGAAACCAGGAAATGCTGGGATCAAGTCCAAATCACACTTCATCTGGGTTTTTAAGACGTCACATACTTTTTTATGTTAAAACAAATCAAATCAATAATTTAATTTGTTATGTCTGACTGAAAAAATAACGTTAACTAAATGATGATGTCCATCATAATTCGAAAAATTAATAAATTTGATTAAATTTAAAAAATCTGATGATGTTACCCTTCCGACAGAGCAAAGACTAAAAATGCGATTTAAATTCAATTTTTTTTTGAAAGACTAAAATTAGAATGGTGTTGTTTAGCATACATTTAAAATAAATTTATTAAAGTTTCAAAAAATTAGTTAAATGCATTCCTGTCCGGAGAATCTTGAAGGGTGATGTAGTGAGCTCCATGTCCAGGCCCTTCATATCTAAAAAATGATTCAATATATTGCAAAAGCAAAAAACTTTAAGCGGACACACTTTTAAAAGATAAAAAGAACGCAGATTCGCATAATACACATTTTCAAAGGGTACAGTTTGCCTATTTGAGTTAGAAATTTAATTTTGCAAATCCGCGCAAGAATAAAATAGTAATGTTTGGTTTGGTTTTTTCAAAAGATAAAAAGCTTGTAACAGTAAAAAACGTTTTTGGGTTTACCCATACCTGAAAGATAGAGAGTAAATACATGCTTTCTTTAAAAACATTCCCCCTCTTGAAGGGGGGGATATGGGGGGGGGTATTTTTCAAAATGGATGTCCCTGAAAAATTGCTAAGAAATTTATACCTGAGATTAGTGAAACATCTATCTGTTGTAGTTTTAACAAAATCAACCCAATCTTGATCAGTTTCTCTTTTTGATCGAAACTTTATACAGGTTTCAGACTCTATAAATCGCATAGCCTAAAAGAGTATGTGTAGCACTTAGGACCTCAGGAATTATGAAATTTCTACTAAATTCGTACCGTACTGTAATACTGTACCGTACTGTACCATAAATTAAAGTTCCATTTAGCACCGTATCGTACCATATCGTTCTGTATCGTACAATATCATACCACATTGCACCTTATCATACCGTATCATACTGTATCGTACTATATTGTACCGTATCATACCGTATCGTACCGTATCATACCGTATTGTACCATATCGTACCGTATCATAATGTATCATACCATATCGAACCCTATTGTACCGTACCGCGTACCGTACCATACCGTATAGTACCATATAGTACTGTACCGAATCGGTTCTAATATACCGTACTTTTTTTTTAGATGAATTCCACCCCCTTTTAAATATTTCATGAAAAGTACGATATTCAATAAGGTATTTTTATCTTATCAGCCTGGCTTATCCTATGACTGTGATTTACATTATCTAGTTTTGAATTCTCAATATTTAATATACAATAAATTAAATGTAAAGAATAATTAAATGTTTATACTTCATCAATGATAGAAGTTTGCGCTGCATCAAATCTAGGATCAATTCTGTATGGAACAAGACTGTTAGGCCAACGATACTTAATATTTCTTTGAACACTTCGCCTTGATCTTCCAACACTTGATCTTCCTCGATCAGCGATCTTCAGATCATCTTCAGTACCAAGAGCATTAGCCGCAGCATCAATCAAGTCTTCTGAAATTATGTCGAGTTTAAGATAACCAGGTTAACCCAAAAAGGATGAGATTTTCTAGGGAGTGTTCACAAAAAAGATGCCTATTCCACGTAGCATCTGTACCATTTTACATGTTGGCTATAAGTTAAAGGGGCAGTTGCCTAAAGTTAAATTAGTTAAAGGGGGACTTTAAAGGGACTGCAAAGGAAAAATGAAAGGGGGTTAGGCTGAAAGCTAATCACTTTAGCTCTTGATCACGATCCATGAAAGTTTTTTATCTGATGTTCCGGTCTCGAGAAATTGATATAAACCAGTGTTAAAATTATACAAAAGTTCATATATGTAAAATTTAGAAATTCTTAAACTTGAATCACGTGATCAGAACTATCACCAATGGCAGAGCAGCATACTGGTCACGTGTCTCCGCCTGTATCATGTGACCACTTTACTGCACTGCCATTGGTGGAATTTCTGGTCAAGAATACTAACGTGTAAATAATATTAAGAATTAAATCTATTAAAAATAGAAATAACAAATATTAAATTAGAATTGGAGTAAACCTAAGTTACAATTAGCCTTCTCTGGGATATCATCGTTTTCATATTGGTTGTATATTTGCTGAATTTGAACTATTTAAACCCACTACTTTTATACAAAATTGTTTAAATATTAATTTTCGTATAAATTTGACACAGTTGTATATCAATTTCTCGAGATAGGAACATCAGATATGACTTTCATGGGTCGCGATCAAGAGCAAAAGTGATTAGCTTTCAGCCTATACCCCGTTTTTTTCCTTTACAGGCCCTTTAAGCGTAATTTCTAGTGACCTTCCATGCAAAGATGGCCATTCCCAATCTACAATAGTGTGAATTTATCTGATCAATAGTGTGAAAGGTAATGTGGTTTTTCTAGGTTTCTACATATATTTTTCATATTCATACTTGATGTAACAAAGCTTTTTAGGATTTCAAGTGTTTTTTACGGGTACTGCTGTGAATCGGTCTTGTTTTACAAGTTAAAAGAGACTGTAGGATATGTATATTGACCCTCAATTTAAATAAGATTGGCAAGAGGTACCAAATTTAACTCTTTGCCTGAATTAAAAAAATGGAAAATCTCCAAAGTGTTTCCTGAGATAAAGTTATAAGGTTGCCGTGTAAATTGGGCAATGGGCATGCCACTCTACTAAAGTAGTTTAAGGTCAAATAAGATTACGTTTAGCTTTTAACAGTTGATGTTTGAAATATCTAATGTAAATAGTGAACAACATCAGGTTGCAAAGATGGGACTATAGAAAATTAGATTTTGAGGCGAGTAATCAGTGTTCCTTAATAGTTACTAGATATTGTTGATCTGTATTCTGTATTTTAACTAAATACAGGGTGTCCCAATAAACATGGAAAATAAGTCACGATTTAAGACTTAGTATCATCTTTGCAAGACACTTTTGCAAGGTACTTTACATTTTACATTTTACTACGTACAACGCATTATTTCACCCTTTTATGCAGAGTATGTAACAGCTATACAATCAAAATGTTTCACAATTCAAAACTAATCAGCAGATTTAAAAGGATTTGTCTAAGGCTCACCCCCTTTAAATGAAAGGTCACTTACGTACCTTTAACTCTAGCAGTCGACACGTCTATAGGATCAAGGTACTAATGCAGGGAAAGTTATTTCAGAGGTGGACGCATTTTTTTTGTACTGCTGTAAACACAATATGGATATATGTCACAGTCTAACATGGAATCCACATTCTGATTATAGGAAACTATTATGTGAATTTTCAAAATTATCAAAATTAAATGGTTTTATCGCCCTCGGATACTATACGAACTGCACTTGTTTACAAATTCCGCCCAGAGAGAACTGGTTTCAATATGTACGCAACGTACTGCAATTATCTTTACTTGTATTAGTACCTTGCATAGGATTAACTTCCCAAGAAGAGACACCACAATACCATAACTTAACTCATTTAAAGAATGTCAATTCGTCTCGTAATTCCAACTTTTATTGGGAAACCCTGTTAATAATTAGAATTAAAGGTTAATAGAGTCATACCATTCAGTTGTCCCTCCTCAACTATAGATTCGTTGTAAATATTTACAGCCAACATTTCCATAGAAGAGGGGACATCAGGCTGGGGCCCAACTAATTCCAACATTAGGTCGGTGAATAGAGTCTGGTTTTCCTTGACCCCTTCTCCTCTTATCATCTTAAATACGCAATTCAACAAAATGTGGAAATAATGTCAAATCCATTTTTTTTTATTAAATTTACAACTTTTCTAATAGTGCTTGCCCTGCAAGCATTCTTTCATTATATATCAGATTTAACACAAAACATTTTGCAAAAAAACTGTTTTTGGTGGGTTTCCAAATACTTTAGATGTAACATGAAAAAAATAATGAAAAAGATAAAGTGAGCATTATGCTTGAAGTGCAATAATGTAAAAGAGAATTATGTTTAAAGTGCAATAATGTAAACGAGAATTATGCTTGAAGTGTAATAATGTAAAAGAGAATTATGCTTGAAGTGCAGTAATGTAAAAGAGAATTATGCTTGAAGTGCAATACTGTAAAAGAGAATTATGCTTAAAGTGCAGTTCCCTTATACAATAAGATTGATGACTGTAACATGTTTAAAGTTTTGATAAATGTTTAGTCGAAAATAAGATTTTTACAGGGACCGTTCACTTGTTTAGGTTATTTTATGGTAAAATATTGAGCCAATAGCTATTCATCGGCATTAGTTCTACTTTCAAAGATATTCATGACAGGAGAAAAAGCCGATTTATCGTTTAGAATTCCAGCAGAAATATACCTTTGCATAGACACTATTTTAACGTTTTTTTAGAAATAACAGCCCAATAAAATCTAGGATTATCATATTTCAATGACAATCATGTGTCAGCCAGTTTCTAATAAAATATAAAAACTTTTGATTTTAGAATCAGCAAGAAATTATCGTTTTTCAAACAAATTGACACGTTTATACAAAGACGACTTTCTCTCTCAAACAAACCGGTTCCTAGATTCCAATTGTCCAATAAATCACAGGGATGTCTGGGGGAAGTAGAGAAAACGTCAAATGTTTTAAATAAGTTTTTTTAAATAGACATTTTAGAATAGTTTTGAAAAAAAAATTAGAAAATCTACAATTAACTTTTAGATACTACAATTTAATTTATTATTTGAAATTTTTTTTTAATCCATGACTATGCCAAAAAGCATCAAATAGTGTAATTAAATGCAACTGAATTATGAATTACCAATGAATAGCTAATAGGCTATTTAGTTTATCCTCAAATTACTCAAAAAAATGAACTGTCCCTTTAACCTGTGTTTGGAAAAAGATTGATATCATTAGTAACCTATGAACCATTGTAATCCGCTCAGTTCTAACTTTGGGATGCAATTGAAAAAATATTATCTCATATCTCAACACGCTTCAGACAACATATGTTTTTTAATCTTTTAACAATAAATTAATGGCCTGAAATATTTTCCATGCAATTAAAAATGTTTCAACCTGATTAGATTCTTAATATTGCAGGTCTATTTACACTTAAATGAAATACTTCACTTTCGAACAATCTTTAAATAAACAATCAAAATAGTTAGTGGTTTTACTATATCTTATAGTTTTACGTGCCAAATGATGTTGGTGTCACGTGCTAAATGTAGTTAGTTCTGCGTGCTAAATGTAGTAATTTCTGCGTGCGAAATGTAGTTAATTCTGCGTGCTAAATATAGTTAGTTCTGCATGCTAAATGCAGTTAGTTCTGTGTGCTAAATGTAAGTAGTTCTGCGTGATAAATGTAGTTAGTTCTGCGTGTTAAATGTAGTAATTTATTCGTGCTAAATGTAGTTAGTTTTGCGTGCTAAATATAGTTAGTTCTGCATGCTAAATGTAGTTAGGTCTGTGTGCTAAATGTAAGTAGTTCTGCGTGATAAATGTAGTTAGTTCTGCGTACTAAATGTAGTAATTTATGAGTGCTAAATGTAGTTAGTTCTGCGTGCTAAATACAGTTAGATCTGCGTGCTAAATGTAGTAAGTTCTGCGTGCTAAATGTAGTAATTTCTGAGTGCTAAATGTAGTTAGTTCTGCATGCTAAATGTAGTAAGTTCTGCGTGCTAAATGTAGTAATTTCTGCGTGCTAAATGTAGTAAGTTCTGTGTGCTAAATGCAGTAATTTCTGCGTGCTAAATGTAGTTAGTTCTGCGTGCTAAATGTAGTAATTTCTGCGTGCTAAATGTAGTTAGTTCTGCGTGCTAAATACAGTTAGATCTGCGTGCTAAATGTAGTAAGTTCTGTGTGCTAAATGTAGTAATTTCTGAGTGCTAAATGTAGTCAGTTCTGCATGCTAAATGTAGTAAGTTCTGCGTGCTAAATGTAGTTAGTTTTATGTGCTAAATTTAGTTAGTTCTGGGTGTTAAATTATGTTAGTTCTTGGTGTTAAATGCAGTTAGTTCTGCGAGCTAAATGTAGTTAGTTATGCGTGTTAAATGTAGTTAGTTCTGTGTGCTAAATGCATTTAGTTCTGTGTGCTAAATGTAGTTGGTGCTAAATGTAGTTAGTTCTTTGTTCCAAATGCAGTTAGTTCTGCGTGCTAAATGAAGTTAGTTCTGTGTGCTATAAATGCAGTTAGTTCTGTGTGCTAAATGCATTTAGTTCTGTGGGCTAAATGTATTTGGTGCTAAATGTAGTTGGTGCTAAATGTAGTTAGTTCTTTGTTCCAAATGCAGTTAGTTCTACGTGTTAAATGTAGTTAGTTCTGTGTGCTACATTAACTTAATTCTTTAGATCACAATGATCACTATTAGATAAAGTTAACAAACAAATAAAGGAAAATCTAAAACACATTTAACAGTTTGAGCTAAAAATATTTTAAAAAGAAATAGAAAGAAATAATTTTATCATGTTTAAATTTGGCTGGTTTGTCGGTTTCCAACAAAGGTCAAAATGGCTGAACCGATCCAGCCCATTTTTTTTAAACAACTCACATGACCCCAGGGAAGGTTTATGGATGGTAAACTATGCATATTTTGCCCAAAAACAAAATTTTTTTAAATGCGCAAATTTAGGCAGAAAGTTGCTAAAAATACAATTTACGAAGAACAATGGCAGCGTTAAAAGCAATAATTAATAGCTAAAACTGTGACTATTAGAAAATGCGTGTGAAGCGTTCTGAGAGCCTAGTAACTTTTATATTAGAAAAATCCTTGAAATTTATATTGTTAAAAACTCTTTAATGGATGATGATAAAAAAACATCTGTGTGTTTAACAATTCTGCACTTTTGCGCATTTAACCTTTTTAATAATTTAGTCTCCGCTGCAATTATTTGAAAAATCAGGTTAAATCTAGTTTTAAAACAATTGCACGCAGTAAAATGTTTAAAATGAAGCAAAAATTATAAGTTAAAAAATATTTAAGAAAAAATTTAAAGATAAAATTTTTTTAGTTAACTTTTATCTTAAACACAATCATTTAAAACTCAATTGGATTTTTGTGGATTCATAAAAAGATTTTCAGGAGTGATGAAATAAATCGTACTTTCAAGACCCAGAACTAACTACATTTAGCACACAGAACTGACTAACTGACTACATTTAGCACGCAGAACCCTATAGATGTAAATAGCCCCAAAATCAAAATTACCTATAGATGTAAATAGCCCCAAAATCAAAATTTGGGTTATATGTCATTTTTTCCGTGCGTCTGTGCGCCTTCCAAAATTAAATAAAACAAGTTCAATTTCAGTAACATCTTTCATCTTTGTTAAAAAGTTTGA